GCTGAATAAAAATTACCAATTGAATGGCACATCAGAAGCAAATGTCAATTTCAGATTTTTAATTTGGGGCTTTTCATTACATGAGATTGCATTGCATGTTTGATGCCTTGGAACAATCTTGGATTAAATTGAAATGCAATTTTAATGTAATGTTAGTATCATTTTACTATTTGTCTAAAGCAAACTTGTAAGACTGCCAAATTGTAAAAACGTAGTCATATATAATTTTTCATTACTATATTTCTATATTCATAAATACATATTCTTTAAGACATATTCACATATACAGTACACTGGAATTGACAGTGAAACTTACAAATGAATGAATATAAACAATAGGCACTGAGTAATTACATTAAATATTTATACTATAAATAAATGCAAAAAAAACATTTCAGTGATATGCATTGTGAACATACGATGTGCATGTGACATTGTGCATAATAAATCTGTAGATGGTGCTTAGTAAGAAAATTATGACGTGAAAACATTTAGGGAAAATTATTTTATTTATGCATCTCCATACAGGGATTTGCCATTGAATTCATTATATATGATTATATTTAAGTGTCCCTTTATATCAGCAATCTTTATACTTATTCAAAGTTTTTCAGTTTTTTATTTCTGTATTAGACAACATTATCTTCACACACTATCTTCATGTCCTTCCTCTCCTGTGTCCCTCCCTCTCATTTCCCATGAGGTCACTCATTGATTCGGAGAAGCAATACCCAGCTGGACAGCAGGAGCTCTGTGCACATACTGCAGTGCTGAGCTGCAGTCACTGCGCTTGTGTGTGTGTGTGTGTGTGTTTATATGTGTCAGACAGCTTTTATCACTGCTACTGCTGCTGCCACTCCAGACTGAATGCAAGCGGAAGGGGGAGTAGAGAGAGAGGGAAGGAGGGAGTGTATAGGCCTTGCCAAATAAAGCCATGGGGGCCTGGGCAGTGACAGCCCTTTCTACACTATAAATACGTTGTTTTTCTGCCGGTTCGGGTTTGGAGCCTGGAGCTCTGGACCAGCCCAGCTCAGGAGATTCTCATCCGCTCTCAGGCCTGTCACTATGCCCCGGGTGGATGCTGACCTCAAACTGGACTTCAAAGATGTCCTTTTCAGACCAAAGAGGAGCAGTCTGAAGAGCAGGTCTGAGGTAAGAACATCTTGCTTGCTGTCTCTGATATAAGAAATCTATGTCATTGGCCTTGTCTAGTTGTACCTGAATGATTAACTAAAAATGAGTACCAAGGGAGCTGTATGTGTGTGTTTGTGAGTGGCAAAGAATGAAAGTAAAAATCAGGATGACCTTGAAGTCCATCTGACAGAGCTGGATTTATGGGGCCCATAAATTTAAGCTTCAACCAGTGACGGTTAATCAAGCTTGATCAACAGATTCCAGTATGTGTCTTCTCTTTATTTCCTGGTGTTGATGTGTCTTGAAACAAACCCAGCGGTTTTCAGGGTTGACTGACCAGGCTAAGGAAAAGCAACCTGAGAGCTTGTGCTTTGAAAACGTGTTTAAAAATAGGCCTGAGGCTTGCCTACATGTCAATAGAAGCAGATTCCACTGTGGTGTTGCTCTTGGTCACACT